TGGGCAGTGGAGAAAAGGGTAAGTTTCGGAGAAATGTTTGTAGGAAGCCAGCGTATGCTGGCTCTTTTCTGGATTTTTAGTTACAAAACTATGGTTGCAATTTTGAAGTCGATGAAGTATGAGACTTGAAGATAACAACCATTGGACTGAAAAGTTGCAACGGCTTACAGATTTAGTCGTGTAAAATAATCATCATTTGGGCCTAATTGAGAATAATATCTCGTTGCTGGGGCATATATTTTCAGATGGAGACTATTTAGTCAAACATGGACAAGAGGAGATAACCATACTTGTTGTGCTTACTTCTATTTCGAGTGAAAGTGTTGCGTGAAGAGGTTCGAAGCTCGATTCCATCAGAAGACGACATTCTTGCTGACGCTGTTTCGATTCCGGCGAAGAGGTGCTAAGCTTTCGTCCGTCACATGACGAGCATCATCAGAGCATCGAGGGTATCATCCTCATAACCAAATGCAAGCTAACAAGTCAAAAAAAGATAAGTTGACAACTTGTTAAGCATGCGAAACAACTGAAACAGGAATAAATTCTAACCAATTTTTCGTATAAGTAGACTTTCGAGACTACTGCATCTCAAATAGAGTCTAACCGATTGCCGATTAATGCTTGGCCTTGGCAAATCGAAAATCTCATCGGGCCCAATTACCTAAATTCACGAGAAAAATCAACTTTTCTTGAGTCGTTAGCTTGCATTTGGTTGTGACGATGATACCCTCGATGCTCTGATGATGCTTGTCATGTGAAGGAGGGAAGCTTAGCACCTTCGCAACGGAATCGAACGAGCTTGCCTCGGAAACAGCGTCAACAAGAATGCTCCTGTAAAGTCAATCGACAGCTGGTCAGGAGGAATCTGCCGTCGTCTTCTGGTAGAGCCGACCTTCGAATCTCTTCACGCAACACTTTCACTCGAAATGCAAGTCAGCTCAGCAATGATGGAAGAAGCGATTCCTCGAAACCCGAATTTTCTTCGCCTATAACCATACTTGCTTGCGGACCTACCAATCTCCTTTTAATACACTTTCTTGCCAAATGTAGGTCGACCCAACAACCACAACAGTAATAGTAATGGTACTTTTAAATTTTTTATAC